AGAGGGAGACCAGACACGGAAGGCAGATTAGGCCGCTCAAAACCCGCCCCCCAAAGCCCTGAAGGGGGGAGGTTTTAAGAGGCTGAGAGAAATTTCTGTACTCTCCCCCCCCCTTCACCTTGGTTCCACACTTCATGACCAGTTCCCAGCTTGTACCCCCTCTATGCGCAGTTTCCATACCTGTGGCAATGCAGAGCCGTCAACATCATGTGCGTCGAGTCCAAGGAATGGATGAAGTTGGGTGGGAAGGCATTTTTCTGCTTCACCGTGTCAGGCTTCCTGAGGGCAAACATGACGAGGTGGGGCGGGGGGGGGGGGGGTAAGAGACCACTCTGAGATGGAATGAGAACCAACAGACGGCGTACTTTGGTGCGGAAGTCCCAGGCTCAAAAGCCCCATAGCCAGTGTCCTAATGAGACGGAGTTCTAGTTCTCAGGGCTCTCCCGTCCCCTTTGTGCACGGCTGCCCTTGCCATTCTGTGACATCAGAGGAGCTAAGCCAATCACAATCAGAGGCAGGACTTGCTCCCCACTACAAAGAAAACTCTCCTGTTCACAGCACCATTCAAAAACATAACCTCTTATTAAGATGTGGATAAGATGCTACAGCCATAACTTCCCGGTCTCTGTGCTGTAAGAAATGAATCCAGTGGTTTGCGGCTCTTGAGAGAACACAGCCATAAATGCCCCAGGGCCTTCCCGGCATCTCTCTGCCCATCACTGGGCCATGTCTATCTCCCGTCAGCCTCTGCTGGTGCGGACATGTACAATTCTGTTATCCCTCTGTGTCAGAAGGGACTGAACGATCCAATGATTCTGGAATGCAGAGGTGCTACAGAGCTATCTACTTTCAGGAGAGTCTGGCTGTCGCAGCACTGCAGGAGTCACTATTCTTGCACAACCTCCTCTCAGTAACAAGATATTCACAGATCGGTACATGAGCAGAGGCATGGGGTGGGGCTCCCCAGGGGGCTGATAACCACTGCTCAGTCTGAAAGGAGCCCATTCTAGCTGTAACAGCAAAGTCTACCGCCTCCAATTCCAGTTCAGGAAAAAGAAAAGTTTTCTGCTACGTCTCTCAGAAGTTCCGGCCCTGCTGGTGGACCTCCTGACGGGCCCTGAGTTTTGGCCACTGTGTGACATGGAGTGTTGGACTGGATGGGCCATTGGCCTGATCCAACCCGGCTTATGTTCTTAAATCTGGGGAAATGCCCAAAGACAGATTCGAATTGCAGCGGAGAGGTCTCGACAGGAATGTAAATTGATCTATCGCATTACCCCCACCCCTTCTGCCAAGGAATTCAGATCTCTCCTCGTTCATTGTAGCCTCACAATGGCCTTGTGGGATAAGATCAGGCCAAGTGTGCCGGGCTGGCCTCTGTGAGCTCTGAACCCGGACTCTCCACTCCTCCTCCAACACTCTAACAACTACACTACGCCATCTTCCTTATTTAGATCATACAGCCCAGGGAGAAAATACAAAACACATCCATGCAATGAAACAACACGTACCTTTGCCTAGAGTAATGAAAACAGTCTCCGGACAAACAAAGCAGGGACGTTTATTTCAAGTTGTTAACAGAGGTGGCCCAGGCTGGCCCGATCCCATCAGATCTCAGAAGCCAAGCAGGGTCAGCCCTGGTGAGTGCTTGGATGGGGGACCCCCCCAAGGAACGCCAGGGTTGCTATGCAGAGGCGGGGAATGGGGGGAAAACACTGCTGGCTCGTTCCTTGCCTTTGAAACCCCATAAGGGGTCTTCATAAGTCGGCTGCGACTTGACGGCACCAAGAGAGCCCCGGGGGGGGGGGGGTGTGGTTGTCTCCTTTCAGGCTGATGTCCCATAAATGGGAGGGCGAGTTCATCAAAGGATGTGTGTACGAGCGGCTTTCGAGGACGAATTCCTGGGGGGGAGGCTGGCTCAAAAGGAACCGGTGGGACAAAACCCAACAAATGCCTTGAAAAATTCCCCAAGGGGAAAAAAAACAACCTAGAAACAATCACGAGAGCACCAAAACACTATGCTCAAAGTGAGTTTCTCCAGAAGGAAGTTTGCTCGCTCTCCCGACCTTAAAATTACACCCTAATTTGTAGAACTTCCCTCGGGAGTGAATTTCGGGGTGGGGGTGGGGGGGTTGCTAAAAAAGGCCCTGTTTCAGGCAGCTGGGCGAGAAACCTCCGATGGCTGCAGAACCCAAGGCGATGCCCCCCCCCCCATCCTCAAAATCACACAGAAGGAAGTACGGGTCATCCCCCCCCCGATTCCAATGTTCCCTCTAAGCTGAGTTAGTGTGAGCTGGCTCACAGTTTTTTGGCCTCCGGCTCACAGATTTTTGTCTCAGCTCAGGAAGGATGGCTCCAGAGCACACGAATTTATGCAGTAGCAAAATTGCTTGCTCAGAACTTTAATGCCCGTAGCTCACAAAGTAGAACTTTGGCTCACAAGGCTCCACAGTTTAGAGGGAGCACTGACTGATACTCACTGGCTGGCATCGTGGCGGGATTTCAGGTTGACCGTCTGCATGCTGCTATTCACCTGTTGGTGGGGAGGAGGAGAGAGTGACAGAGGGTGAGCCACGCAGGACTGGCTGAATTAACGGGGGACTGCGGGGGCGGAGGGACACTCCAGGGCCAAGTGTGCCTGTCAGGGAAGGCAAAGAGCCAGGGGAGGAGGCAGCGTCTGCTCTTCGCGACCAATGGCTCCCCTGCGGCGCCTGCCCAGGTGCTCCCATGAGAGCTGCAAGTAAGTTCCACTCCGGTCTCTTGGGCCCTAACTGCCTGACTCCAAAGGATTGAGTCCGCCCAGACCCCTCGACCATGGCCGCCTGCCTCTCCTTCGAAACAGAGTGCCCGAGAGCGGGACCCCATGCCCACTGCCGCCACAGGTGCCCACCCCACGGTTGCCAGTGGAGCACGTGCCAATGGATCTGCCGGAAGGCACTGGTGCTTATCCACACATGCCCTTCATCCCTGGACTCTGCCTCTGCCCTCACATTGTGCACACGTGAAGAGCCCCTGCCTCGGATGCTGTCGCTCTGGCCGCAGCCTCTGAAGGCTTACGCTTCCCTAATTAATTTTTTTAAAAGAATCCCCTGTTGTTTTCTCCTTTAAAAAAAAACCCCAAACACGATAATATTTGCTCCTGGGGAAAGAAAGGAAAGGTTCCCCAGGGGGGGGGCCGTCGGGGGGGGGCTGTGCGCGGCCAGGGTCACCTTGACTTCCCCTCTGCTGAGTCACTCCCTTCCCCCTGCTGACTCACGCCTTTGCCACTGCAAAATGCTGACTCACTGCCAATTGTCTTCAGTCTCCTTCTGGGCTCTGTAGATGGCGTGCGCGCAGCCATGCTCTTCCCGCCTCCCCCCCCCCTCCAGCCACGCTCGGCTCTGCCATCCCTCTCCCAACGTACTGCAGCCCGGAGACGCCCCACTGTGGCGCC